TCCACAAATGGTTAGGAAATAGGTTCGAAAATTTTAGCTCTTCTATTTATGATGCAAACCACCCTACGGTTGTGGTAGGATCCTTATTCCTCACTTGGGGTTAGCTCATGCCCAATATGGCATCTTCACATGTATGTTTTCATTCCATCCATAATTTTAAAGATGTATTCAAGTCATAATATGCAAAACTTAAGAGCAAACTTTCTTATGTATGCATTCAAATCAAGTTTGATTAATGGTAAACAAAGGTAACAGTTATTGCGAGTTTCTATTTTTTTTCCTCGAATAAATTTATTTTATTATTTCATAAGCGATGACGGGTGCAAGTGAAAAGAAACAATTGACTAGCGGGAGCCAGGTTGTTATTGTCTGTTACTTCCTTCTTCGGTTTCCAATGTGCGCTAGTGATACTGACCAACTCAATCTGATGTGTAACCCTTGCTGATCACATATTCTTGCTGATCTGTCATCCTATTTCGACCATAAGCAATTTCTAATACGTTACTAACAATGACACGCTCATACTTACGTGTCATCAAAGTATCAACATCGACATGCTCATATTCACGTGCCTCCTGACGTGTGTCAGCAACATTAACGCATGACGCTCACGTGTCGTCCTAACTTGTTAACCCCTGTGATTTATAGTTCTACGTGATTTCTAGAATGAAAACCAGGCATATTATCTCGTCAGAAAAAGGGAAAAAAAAAGAATGACTTTTTAACTATAACTAAGTAAAAAAAGCAATATCCTTAAGAATCTCATATTTTAGATCCAGCAAGAAGATAATGAACATATAAGGTAATCAATTTATACCAACGTATTATCGATTAAACCTAGTAAGTGCATGCATTTTATCACATTTGTTTACTAATTACATTAATTATACACAAGGATCCCATATAGTTTCAACAGGAATTTATACACAAGGACCACATATACTGCGCTACAAGTAATATACACAATCATAATAGTGTGACTAATATATCTCAGTTACGTAATAATTACATTAATTCTGTGATGTTCACGGATTAAAACCCGGAATATCAATTCGGGTTTCGTTACAATAGTAAAAAAAACCCGACCCGTCAACAACAGAAGCCGGTCGCTGTCCGGGACAAGACAGCGGATCCACAGCCCCCACAACCGCCGCTTCCTCCGCTGAGACTTCTCACCTTGCATTTTCATCCTTTTTTTTTTACCGCCAAACAGTAATAAAAAAAATCTCAACAAAAAAAAAAGAAAAAAAAAGCAAAAAAGAAAAGAGAAACAAGAAAACAGAAGGGCATTTAAATACAAAAGGAGAGAGTAGCTACAGTATCGGTTACAGGTCTCGTATCGTTTTCTCAAGGTGTCGGCACTTGCCGAGCTCGAGGCTCCATCGGTTCCTCGGTCCGAGCTGTCGCTTTCTCTCTCCTCTCCTCTTCTTATAACGGTTCGGATCTTGCTCTGAGCTTAAACCTCTCCCTCTTTCAGATCCGCAAGGGACTTCGAAGGAGCTTCTCTTCTTCTTCTTCTTCTTCTTCTTCTTTTTCTTCTTGATTTCGAATTGAAAGGGAAATGGCGTTCGATCCGAGACAAGTGGTTGCTGCTTTTCTCACTCTGTCAATGTTCGCGATGCTTGGGAATATGATTAAGCAGGATCACTTTGATTCGTATGAGGTACGATCTTGATTAATTGAGCTTGAGTTGGAGTTTTTGAATTTGATTGGGTTTTTAGGTTCGTTGTATTGTATTTTGGACTTGCGTGTTAGTTTTGTGATTAAATTTGGTGTTTTGTTGTTGAATTATGTCAACGTGTTGAGGATTTGATGTGGATCTGTTCTCAGTCTCGATGGAGATCCTTGTGGAAAAAAAGATTAACCTGAATGTAGGGGGGTTCCTCGATGTTGTTATTGTTAATTATGGAGATCTTTTTGTGGAAAAAGATTAATCTGAATGCAGTTGACATTAATTTTTATTTCTATATTTATTTCATTAGAGTGTGGTTTGAATAGGTTGCAATTTGGTTTTAGTTTAGCTTCTCTCAGGACGGAATTAAGTAAAACTTTAGGACTGATAAGGATTGTTCTTACTGGAATTGACATTACTTTTCATAAGAAGTGAATTAAGCTTAATGTACTAGTTTATTATATCCTGATTTTAATTTAATTTACTTAAAAGTCTCCATTCAAAAGCTCATGTTGTTTGATATAGCTTCTTGCATGATGGAATTAAGCAAGATTTGAGACTGATGAAAAGATTTATGTTATTCGTGGTAAAGGTGAGGCTTCCAACACATGCTGTTCACTTGGATGCAATTGACAATAATGCGCATGGGAATAATGCCGTTCCAGAGGGAAATCAAGGACCTTGGATGGAGAAGAGCCCAGAGCTAAAACCCTGTTGGAATAAGCCGGCTTCAAGTAATTTATACAAACCCATATTAGATTTGATTGTTACTGGTATATAATACAGCATTCTGAGCCTGAATCGATTCTAATTCTGATTTTTTTCCTCAATTTTTTTTATTAATGTTTAGAAGAGGGAGAGCAATCCAAAGGTTTCATCACCTTCTCTTTGACAACTGGTCCTGAATACCATCTCTCACAGGTATAGCACCACAGATATCTTTGTTAATGTATATATTTTGTAGTTAATTTTTATTAATGCATATTATAACGTTCTAACATAGTTTAGTTAATGTGTTAATTTAAAGGTAGTTTACTTAATGTGTTAATTTAAAGGTGTAGTAAGGATCCATGCAAGAGGTTTAACAAGGGAGTTGTGCAGGGTGTTTATTCTCAAATCTAGTAGTTTGAAAGATATAATACATAGTTGAATATGTTCGAACCTCGGATAAGTTTGATTAGCTTTTAATGTCAATTCCAAATCCTAAACAATCTTGTGGGGTCCTCTGTTACAATAAACGGTATAAAGCTATAAGATACTTGTGAAATTTTGATGGCATGTATTGTAGAAGGCTTCATCTGAGGTCAGCGCAAGGTCAATATGTGATGATTTCATTAGAAGTTTTGTTCTGAACTAGAATGAGGTCAATATTTGATGACTTCATCTGAGGGGAGCTTATATTGAATCGAAAGAAGATAGATGGTCAAAATTTCATCAATTGAACCCTAGTCTTGGTGAACTCCAACACAATTCATGAAACCATTGCGATTATAGATTTACATGATAGCGGACTTGATGTCATCATCTTGCTACATCAGGTCGGTAGTAGTGAGAACTTTCCCATTGACCTCAGTTCCTTCTCAATATATTGGAATAAATCTGTGATTCACATCTAAAAACTGTAGGACACAGGCTCCTTTATCTTCCTCCAATACAACTTCATGAAAAAGCCTACCTAGCGGTGACAATTATCGTTTTATTCTGAGGAAATCACTAGAATATATTTGTTTTTTAAGCATAGCTAGTTGTTTGTTTTAATATCATTTCCTCGTTTTACTTGATGCACTGTTATGTTATTATTGTTGGTGTTATTATTATTGTTATTGTTATTATTTATTATTAGCATAATAATTATTGTTATTATTTTGAACCATATTTAATGCTAACATGCAATCCATTAAATTGATCAGATAACAGATGCAGTGGTCATTACAAGGTATCTAGGGGCTACACTTGTCTTACCTGACATCAGAGGAAGTGAACTGGGTCAAAAGTGGTAAGCCTTTAAAATTTTTAGCCACCTCTATTTTGCCAATTGGCCATCTTTGATGAAAAGCTTCCTTTGGTTCGTTATAGTTCGCTGCCATCAACTATTTCTTCTTCTACTATATCTGTGTCATGACTGGAGCCTCATATTTTACTTTTTACATAACAAGATTGAATAAATGTACCTGAAAATGAATGCTTTCTGTCTTTATGTATCATTTCTAAATCTCATGAATCCTAAAAAAAGATAACATTATCTGGTTGCAAGATAAAGATGTGACAGCAAAAGAATTGAACAGCAATGCTGCTAACAGTCTAACTTTACCGTTTATGTAACTGGTCTCACAGCTGCTGGAGGATCTGATACTGGATTATGAAATATTTAGTTCCGGCCTTTATTGTTAATAAATATTAGCTGTCCTATACAAACACTGCATGAATAAATTCATTTTTATACTTCATAGGACCAGATTATATTGATCTTCTATTGTCTGCTTATCACTATTTGTCAATTTATTCAGTAATTTCATAAATGATTTACAGCTATAGCTTTTACATGTTCTGATATATAACCTATGTAACTATAGGAATTTTGAAGATGTGTATGACATTGAAAAATTCATGAAGAACTTAGACGGTGTGGTCAAGATAGTCAAAGAGCTCCCTGCTGAAGTAACAGCCGGAAAACCTGCAGTTGTGAGAGTTCCTAACAGGGTGTCCGAGGACTTCATTACGAAGAATATTGAACCCATTTTCAGGACAAAGAGCTACTTGAGGCTTGCAATCGTGTTTCCTTCAATAAATCTGAGGCAGAGGGAAAAGCAGAGCAACGACTTGGATTCAACTTCATGCTTAGCTATGTTCGGCAGTCTCGAACTGAAACCAGAGATTCAAGGAGTTGCTGACACAATGGTCCAGAGACTAAGAACACTGAGTCGCAAATCTGATGGCAGGTTTGTGGCAGTTGATTTGAGGGTTGATGCTTTAGAGCAAAAGGGATGCAAGGAGAGTGGAAGCAATGGGAGGAAAAACTGTTACAGTGCACATGAAGTCAGTGATTTTCTGAAAAGAGTTGGCTTTGATGGGGACACCACTGTCTATTTGACTCAGACATGGTGGCATGATAGTCTCAATATTTTGAAAGAGAACTTTCCTAAAACTTACACCAAGGTCAGCAACCTTTCTCCTTTCCCCTCAGTACTTTCATTGTGATAGCATCTGTGTAATATGATAGTCCTAACTATCAAAGTCTATCCAGTGAATCTCGAGATCTATTACGGTATTAAGGGTCATCGTGGATAGGCCCCCTTTATTATCACCAAATTGAACTTAAGAACCCATAATTCTATTGTTGCAGCTTTGAATGAAAAAATTGTTGTAGAAAGAACCCCCCCGAAAAGGGTAAAAAAGATTTCACTCAGGGGATCTATCTGCAACAATATAATTACAGGGATAGTAAGTTCAATGTAGCGGTAGTTTAGGGGATCTATCTGCAATTAACCCCCACTATTAGACAATTAATTACCAGTTGACAACTCCTGCTTGTCATTTCGAGACTCATATAGTCATATTTAGGATTGTAACTGAAGACAATTGACATAAGGTGTAAGATTAAATTAAATTCTTTGGTCTTCTAACGAGTTTGTACACGCTTATTTGTACACTTGCAGGATGACATAATACCCGCAGAGAAGAAGGGCGAATTCCTGAGGGCCAAAAGTGGCGAACTGGAGACAGCTCTCGACCTTCATATTTGTACCCAGAGCGATGCATTTGTCCCTGCAATCTCTGGTCTCTTCTATGGAAATGTTGCTGGAAAGAGAATAAGTTCGGGTAAAACCCAAATACTAGTACCCTCTGAAAGGCAGAGTTCTACGGCCTCGGATTTCATATCGACTTATGTCTCTCAGAAGAACCATTTGGTCTACTCATGCTACTGCTGAAGTTTATGCGTTTCTCTTTCCTAGCGCGTCCTCGACTGGTTCCAAAGGTCTGAAATGAGCGCTTTGTATGCAACATGTATACAGCTTTTGAGAAGCAAAGCCTGTTACTAGAAACAAACTATTATAAGTGGTTAAGATAAATAAGTAGAGCTTGTAACTTGTAATTAGTGGTTGTGAGGAAAATGGCAATTTCAATTCAAATGGTAGATGGTCCATATCATGCCCCTCAAAAGAGTACATAAGATGTACTGTTTTCTTTTTCTTGCTCCAGCTTTTTCAGTGTCCCCTGCTTAGATTAATGATACGGATACCCAAATAAAATTACACAAAAAGCAAGAACAAAATAAAATACGATATAAAGCAACAAATCAGCAATCTTGCGTATGTTTTAGGGACCACTTTAATTCAGCCCAGCTCTAGGTAAGCAGGCAGGAATTAAACTCGAGACTGTGACAATGTTGTGTAAGTCATATTAAAACCTTCTAATCGTTCGGAAAGACTGCGACAAAATTGTGTTGTGTAAGTCATATTTTAGGGAGTTATTTAAGTGGTGTCCATTAATATATGCACAAATTTCCAAAAGTTTAGGTGACTAACTTTTTATTTCACCATGGGGGGCAAAATTTTGTGTTCAAACAAACAGCCGGCTGTCTTATAAAGAAAAGCAAAAATGGTGGAGTCCCATTTCTTCTTCCTTTTGTTCTGTTAAAGCCTCTCCAGCTCAAGTTCCGCCAATTCATGGCGATCATCGAAACCCTAGCTCACCTCACCACAACAAAAACCCTAACAACCCCCAAAACCTTTGCATCTGCCTCCAGCTCCCCTCGCCTAATGGCCAGCTGGAGGATCGCATGCAATCCCCGGGCCCCACCTCCTCTCCCTCAGGCGGGGGTCGAGACCTCCGCCGCCGCGGATC